TACAAGGAAGTTAGATTAGATTGAACAAATCATTCGCAGGCCATGCTGTAATTAACGTGTTGATACATATCGCGAACGGTTTATGTGTGTGTTTATTTATGATATTGTTTCTGTTTTTTTGTTTCAAGACATTAGATTTATGTCCAAAAAAAGACCTCAAATAATACCTTTGGATTACTCCCTCGATCGCATCCTCCGCGGGATATAGAGACAATAAAGAACACGTGTTGGCGGCGATTTAACATTATGATAGCAAATAACTCGAAATAACTGACATAGTGTGTGTCTGTTGTATGAGTTTGTAGTGTTTGCGTGTGGGTGTGTTTGTGTGTTATGTGTGTGTGTGTGTGTGATGTGTATTTGTGTGTATGTATTTGTGTTTTTGTCTGTGTGTGTGGTGTGCGTGTATGTGTTTAGTGTGATATTTTTCAGAATATCTGGCATAAAACCCGATGCAAAATGTCTCTCAAGTATTTTCTAGAAACAAAGCCTAACACATATAGGCGGCGATCTAATACAGGAAAGAAGATTTATGTCGAGTTCGAATCATTATTCCGATTTTGAATCAATGCTTTTAATTATGTTATCGTTCTAATCTAAAGACATAACAGGAGTGTATGTTTGTGTGGCGTGTGTGTGTGTGTGTGTGTGTGTGTGTGTGTGTGTGTGTGTTAAATTGTGTGTGCGTGCGTGTGTGTGTGTGTGTGTGAGAGAGTGATTGTGTGTGTGTGTGTGTGTGTGATTGTGTGATTGTGATTGTGATTTTGTGTGTGTGTGTGTGTGTGTGTGCGTGCGTGCGTGCGTGCGTGCGTGCGTGCGTGTGTGTGTTTGTTTGGGTTTATTTGTCACATTATGCCGTTATTGCAAACATTAAGAAATGGCCTTGAGGGTGTATTGTTCAAAATGTTGGAACATGCTCCCTCATTATCCAAGTTCGACATCAGTGCTCAATGACCCAGGCTGGCGGGTACATATGACCCCCAACCCAGCAGTGTCCCCGTTTCAATCAGGGCCTTATCACTAGGATTTAGAGTGTTATTCCTGGAGCTGTACACAAAACACACTCTTTCAACGCCCACGAGGTGCTTGTTTGTCTTCATTATGGGGACAGACTGAGACAGGCTGATACAACTGAACATATGTATGTTAATGTGTTTGATCGCGTCGTGTGTGACATGATTTAGAAACGTGTTTATTCAGTTAAATAATAATACAGAGTTCAATCGTATTGGAGAGTCCGGGGATTATTTAAAGAAGAGATAGGGTTTGGGTTCATAGTTCCTATGATTTATTATAGAAATAGTTAACAAAATGAGGATGATCACGAGTGTATGAAGTATATGTGTAGTTGGGAAACAGTTCCAAGGAATGAATTGTAGAATAATTATATATAAATTCCAGGGTTTGTTTGTATGAAATGTACCCGGCTTACACAAGGATGAGAGAGGTGGGTTTAACGCCGCTTAATGACACGTTAGACTTTAGAACAGAGGCTGGATATATACAAAATTTACTTTTGTTGTATACTTATCACCTTGTTTTACAGTGAGTGAGTGAGTGAGTGGCTGGGTGAGTGAGTGAGTGAGTGAGTGAGTGAGTGAGTGAGGTGATTTGAGAGGAAAAACAAAAGTTACTTACATTTGTACACTTTCGGGAAACATGCAGGTGTTGAAAAATCATGGCTTGTTATCAGTATGAATTAGGGATTCGAAACAATGATTATCGAAACATGGCTGAGTTAAGGTAGGCAACTCTGCACACAGAATCACGGCTCTTCACATCGCTTGACCCCTTGGGTGTGACACCGTAAGGAATTCGGATGAGAAAAGGTCCTTAGCAAACCTTAGCGGGTTGTAAGAGTCGACTAAATGGATCGGGTGACCAGGCTCGGTGACGTGGTTGATTGCGACTCATCGTACCCCGACAGTGTGGGTCCCTGCTCACAATAACAAGCACTGGATTGCCTAGTCCGGAATATTTACAGACCTTCAAATAGCTATAATAGTGGTGAGAGCGGCTTTAAACAAACAAACAAACAAACAAACACACCTAAGTATGTATCGAAGATTATCAGGAGTATGGTGATGGATGGAACTGCCGATGCCTGTATCGCAAGCATCCCCCCCCACCCCCCCCCACCCCCCCCCCCCCCCCCCCCACCCCCCCCCCCACCCCCTCCCTACTCGGACACTGCAGTCATGGCAAGTGAATCAATGGTAGCTGTTATCAATGCTAATTAATTCGTTTGCTAAACATGGATGACCATTGAGACCGATATCTTCTGTAGATGAGTAGGGTTTCACGCCGCTTTGAACATTATATCATTTAGCACGGTTCATGTGTAATAGGGGGCGGTGGGGTAACCTAGTGGTTAAAGTGTTCGCTCGTCAAGCCGAAGACCCGGGTTCGATTCCCCACATGGGTACAGTGTGTGAAGCCCATTTCTGGTGTCCCCCGCCGTGATATTGCTGGAATATTGCTAAAAGCGGTGTAAAACCATACTCACTCACTCATGTGTAACCGAATGTGTTCAAGAAAAGCCCAGTTTGATGCTGGTCGTGGACTTACACCAATTTAAAACAAAAATCGTGTTATTGACTAACCAAGGATCATAATCGGGGATTTCCGGCGCTCGAAAGGCGACTGGTGCGAATGTAAAATATAATACAGTCATGTACGTGCTCTTCAAGAACTGTGACAAGCTGCTTTGATAATATCGGCAAGCACGTGATTTGTGTCCATACCTTGAGGGTTATCAACGAACAATTTATTTAACACTTTCAGATATAATTTGAAAAAGAGCACATGTCAGTCACCATTGTCTTATGACTAAATGAAGCTCAAATAACGTAGTTCATCAATGCCCGATGATGCGAACATGGTCAAAGGGAGACAACTGGACATGCTACATTATTTGGACAACACTTGATGTATCGCTTCACAGATAAACAGAAGCTTGAGAGCAAATTCGTGGGTGCTGATAAGATAGTCGTTTCAACATGTCGTTTCGACATTTTCGTGATCTAGGGTATATGGGCACAAATAGAGGTTCAACAAGTTTTACATGAAGGTAAACACTGCGATAGAGGCTGTGTGACAAATATGTTGAATCTCAGTGTGTGTATTATCATAGAGTAAGGGCGTTGGAAGTTGCTATCAGCACCCGCTTCACTGAGCCGGTTCATGATCAAGGAGTCGATCTCTGTGACACTTGGCTGTGTAAAACTACAGCCCTCGTCCTCATATGACTTTGTAGCTAGGGCAGGGCATTGCTTACCCTTTTCGTGAAGATTCCGGGGTAGAATAGGTCTTCAGCAACCCATGCTTGCCGTAAAAGGCGACTAACGGGATCGGGGGGTCAGGTTCGCTGATTTGGTTGATCCATGTCATCGATCCCAATTGCGTGGATCGATGCTCATGATATCAATCACTGGATTGTCTGGTCCAGACTCGATTATTTACAGACCGCCGTCATATGGCTGGAATATTGCTAAGTGCGGCGTTAAACAACAAACCAACCAAACCAAGCGAACACCTGGGCCCACTTGCACAAAGCGATCTTAACGCTAAGATGATCGTAACTCCTTATCTAAATCTTACGAATCAACACTATCAATCCGACGCCAATTCAGAATTTTCGCTCAGTAATGAATGTTGTTGGTATGTCACATTTTCATTCAGAACTAAGTCATCATCACAGTCATCATCTTCCCGACGCAAGGGAGTTGACTGACTACAAAAGTCCAGTTCCACCCTTCCCGAACTCGCCTTTAACTTCTGGGCTCAATCGTAGCGCCTATAGTGGCTATTACGAGTTATGCCCAGTCGATAATCAACATCTATATTGTAAACAATACCCGGGTCTTACTCCGCGAAGTGCATCAAATCACGTTAGCAGCTTGATAAGAAACATGAGAGGATTTGGAAAATATCTGTTGACAATGAGTTGACGGTACACGTGCTTTACAATTCCTGCAATCGACCGAAATATGCACGGCAGTTGACGAACCGGAAGTCGATGTCGTCACGCGATTTTGATTGGACTATGCAGTTAGTCCAGACATAACATAACTTTGTTATTGTTTTCCCCGTGAGAACCCGGATGATATAGCAGAAATCTAGAATGTTCGCGACCTGTGCTGCGCCACTCGTAAGCGCATTGGTCACTTTTATTGATAGTATGAGGGCGTATGGTCACATTGATAAAAAAAATGAAATACAGTTTTGGAAATAATAAGGAAATGTAGGTATCTTTTTGGGTAGCATCGGTAATGGTGACGACATTTTGATAAGTCACTTGCTTGGTAATTGTGCGATTTTCGTTTACACTATTTTGACTTGCAACACAAAGTAAATATTTCACCTGAGCTTTGCTTATTTTATCGTGTTTATATTTTCACTTCAGAAAAGAAATTTATTAAACGCTTAAATATTCAGTTATTGTACTGAAAATGTGTCCATCTGTAGTATTATCATCAGTCAGTCTGTTAAATAAACGGACAGATTTTCAGTAAATTTGATTTTTTAAAATAAATTGCCTGAATGAATCACATTTTACACATTGACTGTAACACGCTTACAAAGGAAAAGACACGTGAAAACAACGTCTGTCTCACACCGAAGAGTGAGTGAGTGAATATGGTTTTACGCCGCTTTTAGCAATATTCCAGCAATATCACGGCGGGGGACACCAGAAATGGGCTTCACACATTGTACCCATGTCGGGAATCGAACCCGGGTTTTCGGCGTGACGAGCGAACGCTTTAACCACTAGGCTACCCGACCGCCCCTCTCACATCGAAGAACTTCCCAACGAGGACGTAGAGGAACAAGAATGATCCATCACGATTCTGTTCAATGCTACAGCAAATGAATAAAAACAAAATGAAAATATCACAATTACAGTCCTCTAAAGTTGTATAATTTTAGGCAGCTTCCTTGTTCGAGGAATGTATCCGTGAATATCCATTTCTCAACTGATCACTTAGTTTGTTTCAGTTGTTTCACATACATGTGGGTGTCAAGTTTCAAAGGTCAGCTGAGAAAGCCCACGTGACAACTATTTGCATAATGTCCACGGTTCTTCAAAAAGAATTCATTGAGTAAGATAACAATGAGCAATCAATCACCGTGTTATCGGTTAACCCTTTGAACAATGGATGTTGTTTTAACATCGGCACTTAACGCCATGATATGAGTGATTGTTAAATAGACATAATGAAGTTCAACAACAGTTCTTTCAATTTTCAATTTCAAGAAAAACAAACTCGGTATACTTTCTTTTAACCCTCAGTATATGTACACAATACATTCATAATGACGCTGGACGCAGCACCATTGTACAATCTCTTCTAAACTAGTAAAATATTATTTTATATATATTATAAATATTTTTCCTTCCGCCCTGTGTAAAGCATAAAGTTAAGAATAGTCCATAATCACATATCAGCAAATATAATCTCGATCACACCACCACCACCACTGCGAAGTACAATCTCCATTGGTCACATTCCTCACTGCAACGGCCAGTTTTCTGCTGAGGTTAAAGAGTTTCCTGAAAACAGAAACAAAACTGTAAATCACCTTCAGTTGTTAAATTCCTTCTTGAGATCGTTGTGTACGGGGCTATATTAGGCATGGGGTGTATTGGGCGTGGGAGTGTTGGATGTAGGGATATGTTGGGTATGGGACATGTGTAGGCCGTGGGATGTTTTCGGGATGTTTTTGGTGTGGGGATGTGTTTGGTATGGGATGTGTTGGGTGTGGGGATGTGTTTGATGTGGGGATGTGTTGGGTGTCGGGATGTGTTGGGTGTGGGGATGTGTTGGGTGTTGGGATGTGTCGGGTGTTGGGTGTTGGGATGTGTTTGGTATGGGATGTGTTGGGTGTGGGGATGTGTTGGGTGTGGGGATGTGTTGGGTGTGAGGATGTGTTGGATGTGTTGGATGTGGGGATGTGTTGGGTGTGGGGATGTGTTGGGTGTGGGGATGTGTCGGGTGTTGGGTGTGGGGATGTGTTTGGTACGGGATGTGTTGGGTGTGGGGATGTGTTTGGTGTGGGGATGTGTTTGGTGTGGGGATGTGTTGAATGTGGGGATGTGTTGAATGTGGGGATGTGTTGAATGTGGGGATGTGTTGAATGTGGGGATATGTTGGGTGTGGGGATGTGTTGAATGTGGGGATGTGTTGGGTGTGGGGATGTGTTGGGTGTGGGGATGTGTTTGGTATGGGATGTGTTGGGTATGGGGATGTGTTGGGTGTGGGGATGTGTTTGGTATGGGGATGTGTTGGGTGTGGGGATGTGTTTGGTATGGGATGTGTCGGGTGTGGGGATGTGTTGGATGTCGGATGTTTTAGGTATGGGATGTGTTAGGTATGGGATGTGTTTGGTATGGGATGTGTTGTATGTTGGGTGTGTTTGGTATGTTATGTGTTGGGTATGGGATGTGTTGGATGTTGGATGTGCTGGGTATGGGATGGGTTAGGTGTGGGGATGTGTAGGATGTCGGATGTTTTAGGTATGGGATGTGTTGGGTATGTTATGTGTTGGGTAGTGGATGTGTTTGGCACGGTATGTGTTTGATCTGGGGACGTGTTGGGTATGATATGTGTAGGGAATGGGTATGTGTTGGGTACGGAATCTTTTGGGTGTGGGATGTGTTGATTATCGGATGAGTTAGGTGTGGGGATGTGATGTGTTAGGTATTGGATCTGTTTGGTAAGGGATGTGTTGGGTATGGGATGTGTTAGGTATTGGATGTGTTGGGTAAGGTATGTGTTGGGTATGGTATGCGTGGATATTTGGATTTGTTTGGTATGGGGATATTTTGGGTATGGGGTCACATTTGGTTTGGGGATGTGTTAGATATGAACATACAAATTTAAAATCACGTAGGCAATATTGAAGCCAGATTGTGACTTGAACAACTTGATATCAAAATTGTTTCGTAAAGAACTGTCGACAGAGGACAGTAAATACTCATTATTATCACCGTTGCTTTCAAAACTAGTTGTGGAAAATTGTTTTTAAAACAGACTGTTAGACAAGGACACTAAATAAAAATCAGGCCATCTAATTAACTTTTACCTCTCTGCGCCAATATCCGACATACTCAATAAGAGGTTTATTAAATAGTGCAGCCAGATAGAAGGTTGAAATACTACTTAACAACCTACATTGCTTCTCAGCTGAAGGATGCTCTTCCGTTTTGTCGCCTGTCTTGCCGTCCTCCCTGGGTTGCAGATTGTTATCAGCGATGAAATGTTGCAAGAAGGCACGGCAGGAGTTGTATCCCCGCTACAAAGATACCATGAATACAATTTCCTGCAAATATCGCGATCACGATTATGTCAACGTTGTGTGCAACCGTGTGTGTTGGTGTGTTAGTGTGTGTGTTTGTGTGTGTGTGTGTGTGTGTGTGTGTGTGTGTGTGTGAGTGTGTTAGTTTGTGTTTGTGTGCGTTAGTGTGTCTCTGTGTGTATCGATCCACGCAATTGGGAAGCGATAACATGCATCAACCAAGTCAGCTAGCCTGACCACTCGATCCCGTTAGTCGCCTTTTACGGCAAGCATAGGATGCTGAAGACCTATTCTACCCCGGATCTTCACGGGTTGTGTGTGTGTTTGTGTGTGTGTGTTTGCTAGTTAGTGTTAGTGTTAGTGTGTGTGTGCGCGCGCGCTTGTGTGTTCCAGCTATATGACGGCGTGGCGGTCTGTAAATAATCGTGTTTGGACCTGATAATCCAGCGATTGCAAAAATGAATTATCATCATCGCCAAGCCAGACCATCCGATCTATGATTCGCCAATGACAACAAGCATAATGTTTCTGGGATCAGTCCTAACCCCAACACACAGTAGGTTTCGAGCATTAAAATAATGTTTTGCGCCAAATGACACGAATAACATTACCACCAGCTGGTAGATATGTGACGTGGTATATCATGCCACGTCTGTATCATGAGGAGTGATTGTTCTATATACAGGGATACACTTACCAAGATCACAAACTCCTTATCTTCTTCCTCAAGGTCGAAGTCTGTGGTGTCCACGTGGCCGGTATTGATGCCAACAGTCCTGTCAATGTCATTCGGCTGTTGGAAACATATGAAGTTTGGTTCAACCACATGAGGAGCTCCCCATATCAAGTTTGCATGTAATTGTTTCCCCTTTTATTGCCTTTTAGCAATTGCTAGCAGTTTCGTTTTGGGAAAGGAGGGAGGGGTGTGTTCTGGCGGATGTGCGTGTGTGTGTGTGTATGTATGTGTGCGTGCGCGCGCGTGTGTGTGTGGGATGGGGTGTGTGGGGTAAGGCGGGAACAGAGGAGGGTGGGGGGGGGGGGGGGGGGGTCGGGTGTGTGTGTGTGTGTGTGTGTGTGTGTGTTTGTGTGTGTGGTGGTGGGGGGGGGGGGGGGGGGGGGGGATACCACTGGTGGCTCTGTCATCTGAGGTGCAATAGCTTTTAGGCGTGCCAGCAACTCATAATCCATGGTTCGAAGCCCGGTTCGCCTTCATTACGTTTGTCAGCACCATAACCGTTCTCGTGGGTTTCCCTAAAGTGGTAAGCGTCTAAGAACTGGACCACTTCTGACGTTCCAATCACATCGTGTTGGCACGCAGAGAGAGAACTGGAATACTGACTGTTCAAAGCGGCGCTAAACCAATCACACTCACTCACTCATTCAGGAAGTGACATCACACTGTCCTCATATGTTACTTCACACAGCTTTCTCTGCACATGATCCACTCATTGGACCATCAGCCTCCAAACGGGTCTGGGGTATTAATCACAACAGAACGGAGATTAAGAAAGGGGGGAGTTGCTTGCATTAAATTATTCTCAATGAGAATTGGCTTTAAAATCTCTCAAAATAAAACTACTTAATAAACATAACTTCAAAAAGTGAAACTAGTCAACTCATGTGTCCCTTGTGTATTGCATTGGCCAACTAATACCTTGACAGTGATTCTCTTGATGTTTGACATTAGTGTGTTCTTGATGCCGCTCATGTAGCTCCGCAGGCTGTTAATATCATTCCTTCTGAAGCCAAGTGATCGGTGTTTGATATGGATGCCATGTTCTTCAATGAAACTCACAACTTCACTGTAATGAATCTGAAATTATTCACATAATATCTCGAGTAAGTGACGAGTTACGACAGTGTTCCTTTTAAAAGGCAATAAGACGTCTTTGAATATACATTTGTAGCAGGGTTATAGAGAGTTTTGCCTCTTTTGTGCGTCTCTTGTGGAGCCCCTGGTATGGAGAACATGGTGTGATATCGTAAGTGGAAACAGATTCCTGTAGAGAACCATTATTAAAGGCGATATGCTCGGATGGGTTCCCATACATCTGTTACACTTGTGGCTTAATATCATGGACCATGGCACCATGGATTCAGCTGATCATGAAATTCAAGGTAACAGTGTGGAAATCCCCTCATAATAAAGTGACTGCCGGGTGATTGGCAAGAACATTAAGCAGGTGAGTGACAAAGAAAGTCCACCTGGTTTATTGTTAGGATTCAACTTATCATGAAATTCAAGGGAACAGTGTGGAGATCACCTGATCCGAACAATAAAGTGACTGTCGGGTGATTGACAAGAAAGTTAATCAGGTGAGTGACAAAGAAAGTCGACCAGGTTTATTGTTAAAATTCAACTTATCATGAAATTTAAGGTAACACTGTGGAGATCACCTCATCCGAACATTAAAGTGACTGCCGGGTGATTGACAAGAACGTTAAACAGGTGAGTGACAAAGAAAGTCCACCTGGTTTATTGTTAAGATACAACTTATCATGAAATTCAAGGTATCAGTGTGGAGATCCCCTCATAATAAAGTGACTGCCGGGTGATTGACAAGAAAGTTAATCAGGTGAGTGACAAGAACGCCGACCAGATGTGTGACTGTGAGGTTGCCTGCGTCCTCACGTACACACTATAATTGTTTACCTTTCCATTTCCGTCCTGATCCAAAAGAGAAAATACATACTCTGGACTCGCATCCTTTCCAAACAGAATTTCTGCCTGATCCTTCGAGAACGATTCCTGCAATAAAGTTATGCTGCAATGTATCTCATTATGATCGAGTAATTAGTGCTATGCTGCAATGTATCTCAATACGACCGAATAATTAGTGCTATGCTGCAATGTATCTCAATACGACCGAATAATTAGTGCGTTGGCTTGTCAGACAGACCACCGTGTGCTGTTTGTCTTGTTTGTGGATCAACGCCGCAGTACGCAATAGTACAGTTAAATCACGCTGGCATGTACAACATCGAGTCAGAACTAGACAAACAGGTGATGTATGTTAAGAGCAACAGTTCACGTCGTCGGGGTACGATGTCTAGCTTTCAACTTAATCACCTATCTGGCCATCCGAGTCATACAGCCGCCTCTTACGACAAACTTGATTACTGTGGCCCTTATGTTGAGTTGGTTGTCATGGTATCTATCTTGTTACACTTAGGTCGCCCCCATGGTCTAGTGGTAGAGCGTCCGCCCGGAGAGCGGAAGGTCGTAGGTTCGATCCCCACCCGAGTCATACCAAAAGACGTTAAAGGATGGTACTTGATGTTACCCCGCCTGGCGCTCGGCATTAAGGGGATAAAATAAAGACTGGTCGGCTCGGAATTAGTATACTGTGTCTGAGTGGGGTATTCATGTTAAACTGCGGCATGGTATCTCAGTGAGCTGTGTTTATTTTAAATGTTAAACACTCTACCCCAGATTATATGGTGAATTAGGTAGATAGCACATTGAAATCTTAGTAAAGGTGAGTAAAGTGTCATATTGGGGCCAGCTGATGTCTTGTTGTGACCACAGGTTACCCCATATTTTGTATTGTGCTATGTATAATTTGTCAAATAGTACTGATGGTTGTAATTTTGCTTGAATTATAAATGTTAAAACAATTCACCAGCGCTATATGATTGGAAGTTGTGAGGGCTAGAACAAGCACACACACACACACACACACACACACACACACACACACACACACGCAATAATCTTTGAAGCGAAGTAAAATCCCATTTCATCTCACCGATTCCCGACATGGGTACAATGTGTAAAAAGCCCATTTCTGGTGTCCCCCGCCGTGATATTGCTGGAATATTGCTAAAAGCGGCATAAAACCATTCTCACTGACTCACTGATTCACTGACTGATATTCATGAATTGAACTGACGTACGCTTTTGAGTGCGTTTTCTAACTCTTCCCTGTCAATGACGTTCACTTCATCAGTGTTGCATTCCTCAAGAACCTGAAACATGAGACAATGGTGAAATCTTGAAGATTAACACTGCTTGGAAACTACTAATATAATAAAACACATAAGTATTTTTATATAGTTTCTTGGTTATCTGTATGTGACATTTTAGAAGCTTTGGTATCAGTTTTAGTAGACAGTGTTGATATGGATTTCTGCGTCTTTATTCTTCTAATGACATTAAAATAAAAAGGAAGTTAAAATCCAGCTCAGGTTTCAGTGCCTGTTGTCGCACTCAGCAATTCCAGCTAAATCACTGCGATCGGAAAGTAACCGAGTCTGGGCCAGACAATCCAGTGATTATTTGGTCCAGATTCGATTATTTACATACCGCCGTCATACACCTGGTATAGTGCGGCGTTAAACAACAAACAAACAAACCTTCGGGTCACGGGTAGACAAGTCGCCTAAGGTGCCGCAATTCGATTGCGTCCCCTAGACGTATAAGGAACACATAGTCGTGAATTTTATCCACCCTAATTATGTTTCTAGGTTTGGCAGCACCATAAACTGCTTGTGGGTTTAACCAAGTGGTGGTAGAGGACATCTCGTCATGCATCCCTCCCACATATTACCTTCAAAAATGAATCCACGGCCACAGTAATCCTCTGGTGAATACGTTTTGATTTCACCATATCCTCCTTCTTGTGGAACCATTTCCTGCAATGTACGTGCATGTATACATTAGCGAAGCAAACACCGATAACGTGCGGTAATAGCCCATCACCACGTAAGGGGATCAGGTATTTTAGGGGGGGTGGGGGGGGGGGGGGGGGGGGGATTTAACGTCCATGTTTTTTTTATTTTAGGGTCACACTCTTTTTTTGTGTGAAAAGGCTTAATATATTTAAAAGGGTTTTCCTAAGCAAAAAGGAAACCTCTTTTTAACCAATCAGAATTAAGCACCAACCGATGTCATGGTAGAATACAATTTAGCCAGGACAGCCAGCACGTCCAAATAACAATAGGACATATAGGCAAAAGTATATTTGTGTATTTTCAAGAACATATGTACCACTCCACCCCATGGGACAATTGTCTCTTGCGTCCCCGTCTCCTGACACCAGTTACTCACTTGTATAGTTTTGTTTCCTTGCTTGGCCTGAGGGGTTGGACAATTCCGATCTTCCTTTCCAGGTCCGGCCTGAGATAATCTATTTCGTCGTCTGCGTACTGTGGGAAAGGAGATATGAATGTTAGCAAATATCTGAGCGATTTAAGATGACAAATGTCTTGTTTGACACTGCAAGGTAAGATTGTCTGAAAACTGAATAGTTCTATCTACATTGGACTTCACACACACCGATGTAGGCACAGCACTCTACTATTACACATTATTATCTTCGATTGGGATCTTCAGTATGTATAATGAACCTTGTTTTTTTCATATTTTAGATGGATTTGTCTGATTGTTTGATGTAAAAGAACACTGGCAAAAAAACTTTTGAATCTTTATAAATGTATCAAATTGTACATCACTATTGTTCATTACGATGCCAACTAAAAAACGAAAAGGACAAAGAAAGTATCTCTAACCATTGTAATAGCATTTTGTCATAAAATGAGAATATTTACCTAACGAAACAATTCGGTTCAAATAGAAGAACCTTCAATAATCTAATAAGGTTGAAGTACTGAGTCTATAAAATGCAACGTTACAATACTTTCCTGTACATCTAAGGTAAAATAGTGGCAAGTCTGTAAAGTTAAACAGCTTTGTTAACAGGAAAAGTCCCTGTTTGTGAATCACATCCGGTTGAGCTGAAATATCACGTCCTCCGAGCCGCACTGCAATTCTTCTGTAACCGTTAACTTAACCGTGAACAGTCAATTCTACAATATAGTTTAATATTTATGTCCCGGTAAGCGGAAGGTCGGTGGTTCGCTGCGTCATACCAAACCACTTCAAAAGATTGTACTTGTTGTTTGGTATTCTGCCTGGAGAACATACACACCCATCCAAATAAAGACAGACACATACACGCGCACACTGTCACACACACTGACACACACACACACACACACACACACACACACACACACACACACACACACACACAGGAGATATCCATACGTTTTACAGTTCCTATGGGTGATCGATCAGCAGTCATTTTTTTAATGAATCGGTATGTAGGCTATCGATGTATTCAGGCACACGGGTTTTTGTGTAAAAAGGCTTAATATACTTAAAAGGGATTTCCGTAGCAAATAGGAAACCTCTTTTAACCAATTAGAATTAAGCACTCTCCGTTGTCATGATAGAATACACTTAAGCCAGGACATCCAGCATGTCCAAATAACAATAGGACATGGGAGGCAAAAGTGTATTTGTGTATTTTCAAGAACACAATTCCATCCCAAGGGACAATTGTCTCGTCTACAATATAGTTTATTATTTATGTCCCGGATAGCGGAAGGTCGGTGGTTCGCTGCGTCATACCAAACTACTTCAAAAGATTGTACTTGTTGTTTGGTATTCTGCCTGGACACACATACATCCTATCCCTAACCTGTGACGTCACCTAACAACGGGCGTGATAATGGCCTGTCGTCAAGAAATATGAGGGCATTATTAAGTTACAGTGGCCCGCTCATTTTTAATAACATGCGGGCTGTTTAATGATAATTCTATCCATTTTAGCTATAATGTGCAACAGTCCTGACCTCATCTATTATTTCGTGGTGTAGTTCAATAGCGGACAGACCCCCTGGCAAATAGGAAGAATCCTACCCCAAAGAGATTCAAATACACAAGCCTGCCATCTTGGTCTTCTATTTGCAAAGACGTTGAGTGGGTCTTGTTTTATGTCGTTTTGCACAGTATATCAGATATATCACGGCCTGCCACATGTATGTTTGTGACGTCTTTGACGTTTACCGCGTTTGAAACCAAGGAACACGGAACAGCCAAAACATGCATCATAATCCGGCAAAACTGGGACTCGAACATGCGATCATAGGATTGGAGTTCGTCCAAGTGATGCATATCTGGCCAGCGAATCGGGCGCCTTGGACAACCGGGGTACCTGTATCCCCTGATGAACGTACATACACGTTTACTTAAGGACTGACTGTGTATTTATTTCGGTTCATTGAGGTAAGAATCGAAAAACCGATGTGCAAACTGTATGAATCCGCGGAGCAGATTCTTACAAAAGCGAGCTAGGCTGCACGTTTGCGGTTTCATTCTTTCTGGGCCATCGATCTCAAAAGGTTGTTTGGACAATGAATATGCTTGAATTTCGCAAAATATCTTGTGCATAACGATACACGTGAGCAGAAAGGGAATCCCATCGAATGTTATATTGGGATTCACCGACTTTCCATCGGTGGATGTGGCTTATTTTTTTTAACATTCATTGGGAAAGAAATGCAATAACACGTTACCAATTCAGTTAATCAGAATGCAGAGATTTCTGACCACAACGAAATTTTAATCATATGATCTTAAGTTTCTTGCAAAGACAGAGTTAATCAGATCCAAAATGCAACTTACAAGGAGAAACCCAAGTGTTTTGTTGTGTGCTGTTGTCTCTTTGAATCTGTTTTCATACAACATAGGAATATTGTCCAGTGGTTGTAGTCGTTTGAGGAAGTTGTCACCTTTTGCCATGGACAAGAACCAACCTGTGACGAAGGAAGGTGATTACATGCATGTTTAGTTGTTGAGGTATGGTCATATTACTTGTCTAAACATAGTTGGATATGTTCATTGTAACTAACAAGTTTCATTTGTTTCAGACATGGACGGCTTAAATGACTAAATGAGAGAAATTCCGACTGAATTTTTTTGCTTTAGTTTAAGTTCAATTAATTTTTGAACAGTTAACGACTTTTTGACTTCAATGGATGTAGTGTTCTAAGAAGTGTTTGTAGAAAGGATAAAAGACCTACACTAACGATAAAATGCCCACTCTGTGTGACAATAATGTTTATGTTCCCGTCTCACCATCAAAACAATGCACTGGATAATTACAGAGGACTCCTCCATCAATAAACACATCCTCTGTTCCATGAAGAGAATAGACAGTAGGAGCAAATAGGCCTGTAAATAGTAAAAATACATGTGTGAAGATCCCACGTCGCTGTTCCCTAAAACATGTCTACATATGACAATGAAATAATAAACATCAAAACAATAGTTGGCGATGGAACCGTGCATTATGTTGAGGACAGTGTTTGTTTATTCATAGTTAGCAATATACATTTCTTGTTGTAATGTCTCAAGTGTGGGAAAAGCATTAACATTGCTATATGTGTTTCAAATATCTGGTGTGAGGTGAAATGGGGTTTAACGTCTCGTCCAAGATTATTGCACTTATATAGCGACGTGCATGTACATGTGTGTGTGTGGCTGCTTGTACTAGTCCGGACTGATGCCGATTTATAGTGCTAGCTCACTGAGATACCATGCCGCAGTTTAACATGAATACCCCACTCAGACACAGTATACTGACTCCGAGCCGACCAGTCCTTGTTTTAGCCCATTAATGTCGTGCGCCAGACAGGGTAACAACAAGTACCATCTTTTAACGTCTTTGGGTATGACGCGGCCGGGGATCGAACCCCGGACCTTCCGCTCTCCGGGCGGACGCTCTACCATTAGACCACGGAGGCGGTCGAATTATTCAAGGAGATCTACATGGTACTGTGAACATGAGAAAATGCTCTGGACCGCCGTTGACAACTCAACAGAGCGATTCCGGGGGGAAATATCTTTCAATTTCTAAAAAGGAAAATAACCCTAACAAATTAAAACAACCATAAATGTGATTCTGATCACATAACGATAGAACATACATATGTATATAAGGGGTACCAGAACTATATTTATCTGGACTGTATTGGGTTACTACAAAAATGTAGTTTAAAATAAGACATGTAGCGTGTTTATTTAAAGATTCTAATTGTATTATGAAGTTCAATGAGATATACATGTATACCTTTCTCTTTACTAAATGTGTCTATGTATGACAATGATCTGGACTCTGATTGAATAAATGACCGATTCAGTAGCTTTTTTTAAGTTGTCTAAATATCACTGCGTGAATTGCATGATACATATTAAAATTGACACGAATTTGGAAAATAACTCCCTTCACAAACAAGACTATTTTAAGCTGAATTGCGTCAAAGACATTTTACAATTTTAATCTGAGTTTAAAATTGATAAACAAGAATATCCCTATAGTCCAAGAGATGGGAGCGATTTATTTCACCCAAGAGGTCCATTCCAGTTAATGCTTGTTTCGAATTCCAAAAATGTTTGTCTTACAATTCTTATCTTAGGTGCTTTTATTTCCTTAAAATGTAACCAAATGACAACTTTTATGAAAACCATTGTAAAGATTTATCTCCCTTGTGTCAACATTTAATATATGACCCCGGTCATTATTTCGTAATAACCTTTTAATTACTTTTCATGAAATGGTACAAAATGATTATCTTAACATCCAACACATTTCTGTCACAGAAAATACAATTTATGCAATGTTGCTTTTTAATGTGAAGGAAGGAAAATGAACGCAAAGTGTCAAACTTGATTATTTTTGCACTTTGTTATGCCCAAAAAGTATTATTGCACCGGAAATATATCTGAACGCTTAATTTTTGTGTATGACTGTGTAGGTTGTTGTATTCTCTTTATTTGGACACCAAATATTAAAAGAAAAAGGTATTAGTTTTGATGAAAACCTCCATTTACTTGTCAGAGGTATAATACAAAAAGTGCGTCATGACTTCAGCGCCCCCCCAGTGTGAAAATGAACCATCAGATATTTGTAAGACAAACATTTTTGGAACATTCAGGGTTTTTTTTGTCTTCGAAACAAGCATTAACTTGTATGGACCTCTTGGGTGAAACAAATCCCTCCCATCTCTTGGACTACTATATTCACAATAACATTTTTGGCCTTAGATATGTTATGGGAATATAGTCTTCACACGTTTAATATGCATTGAAATATCATAAAGTATAGCAAAGAGAAAATATGTGAGATATATTAAATATTTAATGATATAATAGGATACGAGCGTATACATAGTTTGAGATACCGTAGTTAAGCTTTAGCTTGATTGTGCTCTACATATCTTGAGAGTACGTCAATATATTGTTTGAACAACGCCACGTAAAAATCGTCTGTGACGTCATGATTAACGGTTGGCGTTATTTAAAGTTATTTGCGACAATGTGTAAACAACGAAAACAACTGCACAACTAGCAATAGTATACTCGTTGACAACTACTTTAAAAATATATGCCCTAAAGGGTTGTATGCCGGTATTGTACTTACCGGGAATGGACACTGACATGCGCACTGCCATCCTGACTGGCATATCCGGTGTAGTTTTGGGGTGACAGTATTCTGCAGTCATGAGGTTCAGGTTGGTGACAACCACGCACACCTCGCGGCCATATTTCTTCCGTACCTGAGACATTAGAGGATTCCAGTGCAACACATGTTTTAGCATTCCCATTCCGAAATAAACGTTTCCTTATACTGTGAAGACAAAATTAACTTTAAAAGCCCTATCGGATACTGCAGTTTTTAACGGCAGCGTGATTTCGTGAGATTCCGCGATGGTTGGTGAATGAAGTGACTGATTTGTTACGGGCAAGCAACGAAACACATTTTACTCACGGTTAGTGTTCGAAGTCAAATTTTTATAGCAGTGAAGGTTAGTGTGATTGCAAGACCCGTGAAGATCCGGGGAAGAAGATCCGTAAAAGGCGACTATGCTTGTCGTACCAGGCTACTAACGCGATCGGGTGGTCAGGCTCGCTGACTTGTTTGATGCATGTCATCGATCCCAGTTGCGTGGATCGATGCTCATGATGTCAATCACTGGATTGTCTGGGCCAGACAGACCGCCGTCATATAGCTGGAATATTGCTGAGTGCGGCGTTAAACAACAAACAAACAGGAATTGTGACCTTTAATGCCTGTAATTTAATCAAGAATTGTCATTGTTTTGGGATCGGTGTCATGATTCGTGTATCCCAACAAGCTCATAGTCCGCCACGCCTTATCAAACGAAGATTAAAGGTTGGTTGCACTCAGCAATATTCCAGCCATTTGACGGGAAAATGTACTTGCCTATCTCTATGTCCATTCCTCTGGCACGTGGTATAAAACCTTAGGCGGGGCGCATAAAACCAAATGTACCCCTCGTGATCCTGCTACAACTTGTATGATACAGTAACATGATCTAAGTGATTGGGGCACGGGTGCAGAAGCCTATAGTTCTGGGTTCGAATCCCAGTTTGTTTGTAGGTTTATCAGCACTATACCCGTGCTCGTAGGTTTCACTGAAGTGGTAAACGTGTGATATAACTTCGGGCTTCCTTAAGCTAACACTGGAGTAGTGTTCAAAGCGGCGTAAAACGAAAGTCACTCACTATTTATGTGATAATGCAAATTATTACTATTAGAGAAAAGTTTAATAACCTCATATATGTCACTAAACTGAAATTATGTGTCAACAGGAGTGAGATAAGTGAGTGTAAGTGAGTGAGTTAATGCTTTACGTCACATCGGCAATATTTCCGCCATATCGTGACGAGAAGTTATACATGAATAAACATATATTAAAACTTTTAAAAATCTGTCATCGAAGGACAGTATCAGAAGTAGAATATCACAGATAAGATTTAAAACTAGTTGCGGAACATTTAAAAGCATTAAGTATTAAGGAACAACACAATATAAAAATGGGCTAGAGATCGTCAGTAACTAAAGGGAGATCACCACACCAGGGACCATGGGGACTTACAGTACCTTTGCTTCCTGCATGGGCCCTGGCAGGATTTATATCATCCCTTCAGTCACTGGCGATAGTATACCAGTTAAGCCTTATAATAAAATGACAAAAATCCTACGTTTTAAAATTCTGGCATGCATAATAATACTTTGAATGATGTGGGACTTACATACCCTCTTAGGGGGACAATAATTTTACACTACTTTAACCCCCCGAGTGAGATAAGTAGTCACTGTGTATAATCTATTATATTTGTACCAACTTATTCTTGTAAACTGTTCATGAAACGCACATTGTGTTCTTAACAGTGGAACAGCCGACAATATGTCAACAATTATTTACAAATCAAAATGAAAATATTTCGAGGCATACCGGAATCTAAATTTAGCGATAAATGCTTTTCGATTCAACTCCAAAAGTCCAATGAAGATTTCACCTTCACTCAAGGCTCTTCTTTTCTTTTCTTTTATAAATATTTTTTTATTTCAATTAGTCATGGCTGTCTTGACAACTTAAGAAAACATCTAGATTTCCCAAACAATAGACCACATCTGGGTTGTTTTCGCCACATACATCGTACACTTTATCATACGTGAGTGAGTGAGTTAATATTTAACGTCACATCGACAGTATTTCAACCATATCGTAACTTTTTCGTACATTATCAAAAACATGCAGAAATGTCAAACTGACAGTGTATCATTGTCGCCAGTTATAGTCATGTCTCGCTTCCTCAGAAACAGTTGCTTCGATTCCGCTCCGTCTAAGGAATGCATGTGCCTCACACCCACACAAGATGGTTTTGATCACCAGTTCTGCCGTTGATAATGTGGATCAAGGTAGACTTGTCGATCTTCTGCTATGGTGATCGCACGAATGCACTTCCGGCAAAATATCTTACCCTTTATCGCTGAATCTCTCGGTATCTGATCACGTAATGGACGAGTTTCAAATCTCGCTTTTACCCCATATGGTTTAAAATATGCGAGTCAACAAACACGAAACACAAGAAAACATATACCGCGCTGTACATCGTAATCCAGGCAAAGTTGTTTGTTTTGTTATGCACCGCACTAAGCAATATCCCAGTAAATGGCCTGTAAATTATCAAGTCTGGGCAAGACAAACCGGTGATTAATATTACGAGCCATGACTGACGCTATTGGGCTACGCTGACAAGCAATCAACCACATTAAGTCGCCTCGCAAACACGGAATGCATAATATGAACACCCTCGAGGACTCAATATGAGCTTCCAATATCATTTAACGCTCCTTGTCAAAGGATGTGTATCGCTTTTTAATTACGAATTTCATTTGAAATATTATACTGAACCACAAAAGAAACGTCACCCAATGTAACATTGCATGAAAAGTTGTCATAAAATATCTGGGTAATGTTTGTCAGTTTCTAAAATTTAACATTACCTTGTCCAGAAAAATGAAATTTGATGATAAAAAAATCAAAGTAGATGACAATAAAACCGATCGTCCAAACGCATCACGGCAACGGCCATGGTAACCCGATGCACGTGAGTTCCGTGCAAATTGAAATACACATGCGTTCCCCCATTTCTTGCCCTATAAAAATCCACCAAGATCAGATAACATTCATTCGTTATTGAATTGCTACCACATGCCAGGATTGACAAGAAATCAGTGACACCAAGCCCTTGGACGATTGCAAGCTGGACAAACCGCCCGGCAAGTAGCCAATGCATTTCAAGTCCAGATAAGGACCATATACAGGCTCCAGCAACGGTACCAGACCACCAACACTACAGATGACCGACCACGTAGTGGAAGACCAAGGGTCACCTCCCGACGTCAGGATCGTCAGATTATGCGACAGCATCTTCAAGATCACTTTGTTACTGCTGCGGACCATGGGAACACACCAGCGACACATTATTGCGGACACCTCGCGTCGACGATTGACGAGCAGACACCTCCACTGTCACAGGCTACACCGAGGACCCATTCTGACACCACGCCGTCGATGGGGCCGTCAGTGGGCAACACAGCACCAACATTGGCGCCACCAGCAGTGGAGAAGAGTCCTCTTCTCAGACAAGAACCGTTACTGTATCTCAACAGCAGATGGCAGAGAGGGAGAGAGAGAGAGAGTCTGGCGACGCTGTGGGGAACGTTATTCCGATGCTTGTGTTGTTGAGAGAGACTCGTGGGGTGGACCGAGCATCATGGTGTGGGGTGGAATTGGTCTTGCACAGAGGGTCGGCCCTGTGGTCTTCCAGAACATCGGTCCAGGGTAAGGCAATGGTGTCACAGCAGCTCGGTACATTGGTCAAGTCTTGAGACAACACGCCAATACCTCATTTGGCACGTCGCCGCAACCACGAGTTTCAGCATGATAACGCCCGTCCCCACACTGCGAGAGCAACAAGAGACTTCCTCCAGCGGAATGGCATCAGAACCATGCAGTGGCCTGCCCTCAGTCCCGATTTAAATCCCACTGAGAACCTGTGGGACAAGATTCAAAGACGGCTGAATGACGTCAGACCAAGGCCGACTACTGCAGTTGAACTGCGTCAGACGTTCCGCAGAGAATGGGCTCAAGTGCCTATGGCCTTCATTAACCGCCTCATCCATTCCATGTATCGACGTTGCACGGCAGTCATCAATGCACATGGCGGACACAGGAGATACTGACTTGTGATGCCATTTTCTCAGCGACTAGTGTTGTGTTTCACTTTAAGAACATTTAACACTTTAATTTCAACCTTGATGATCAGTTTTGCCAAATTTTTAATATGTCTCAGGGTATGTTTACAGCGCTTGGACAAATAAGATTTCTCATATATCTATCCATGGTGACGTTTCTTTTGCGGTTCAGTATAGAAATAAACATGTTCTACCTGCTCAAATGTTATGTCTTCAGACCCCGTTTCCTGACGCAATAAATCGCCAAGCCAGTTGTACATGTTGTCTCCTGGATGCCAGCCAAATCTATTCAGGAGGTTTCGGAGACCTGTTACAAGTCCACCCCTGTCTGAAAACAATCGAACGTATTTAAAAAACAACCCATGTGTTATATATCCATGTACGTTAAGAAACACACCCGACACATACGTAACTTATTAGTTGTTGGTTGGTTTGTTGGTTAACGCCGCACTCAGCAATATTCCAGCTATATGACGGCGGTCTGTAAATAATCGAGTCTGGACCAGACAATCCAGTGATTGACATCATGAGCATCGATCCACGCAATTGGGATCGATGACATGCATCAACAAAGTCAGCGAGCCTGACCACCTGATCCCGTCAGTCGCCTTTTAAGGCAAGCATGGGTTGCTGAAGACCTATTCTATTTGTTGTTTTTGTTAATTTAATGACGCACCAAGCCCTATTTTAGCTATAGTACGATGCATTAGATTGACAGTGAGTTACATCGCAATGTCGTGTGGTATACCGTATTCGACGTCATAATTTTGGTGAAAAAAAAACAGAGTTGAAAGATAAATTTCGTGGTTTATGCTGACAGCCTGAAATGTTTATATACGACAGATATATTTTTCCAGAATTTAATTGCCCATTATTGAGGGTGCATATTACACACGAGTGCGTATTATACACGAATAAATAGGTCTTGTGTTCATTGATCAATCGGAAGGGGTGCTAATTTGGATTGTTCATTAGGCAATATATTAGCAAATATCGCCGTGGGCGCTTATTAGAGCGGAGCGCTTATTACGTCGAATACGATAATTGTACATTTATGTACACGTATACAAATAGACACACACTAGGACAAGATGTGACTAGTTGCATTATATTGTTACAAATACCATAGAGACAGGATACTCTATTCATTATTGAATAATCATTGTTCATAGAAAGAAATACTGAAACATACATTCACACCTGTCTTCAAATATATGTACATAGATATAACAGTAAATTGAAACATAAATGCTTGTTAAGATGATCCCACGAATGTTCGATGGGATCCATGTCAGGAGAACATGGCAAAACATTAAGGTACATGTTGGATGTTGGTCTTGCGTTATCGTGGGAGATTAAACCCTGTGGCTGTTGTGGGAAGAATGACAGCACAAAAGGGTCGCACAACCTCATCCTGTTACCTCTGCGCCGTAGTGTTGCCTTGAACGTTAACCGGCCTCGTTTTCAAGTCTCCATAGCGAAATTTCGATGCGATATCGCTCCATCAGGTTCTTGTTTTATCGCAAATGCGCGAAACAAGGTGGAGCAAAATACTCAGTATTGGACACGATTTATATAGTAAGAATATATTATAAGGTATAACTTACGTAGATACTGACTAATGTATACCTAATATATTTACGGGACGTTTCTACTTTCAGAAAAAGATACTGGAACATATATTCACGAACGTCAATTCAAGTATAAAAGATTTTATTCCCGCAATTACTCCTTGTCGCATCCCACTACCGCACTGTCGATCTCTCGCACATTGATAATTCACTAGCTGCTATCGACCCGCATCATGACGATTTCTTGCATATAATGTGTATATGTTTCTTCAATAAATTAAAAAGAACAATAATGTTAATCCTAGTTTTATTCTAGAGACAGGATATTTTTCACTGTTTCAAAATGAATTTCTCAAAACTATTATGATTTTGTATTTTGTTCACATTTATATCGAGAAATGTTCTCTCTTTCCATATTTTAAACCTGAACCAAAATGTCCACCACCTGTCTATCAAATGCCTGTTTTCTAACAGGCATAGTTGCCTTGTTATATATATTATATATGGTTTAATTTCGTGCGATAGGAAAACGTACAAATGATTCATTGCAGCTGATAAAAATAAAACACCATTCTTTTGGTTACCGTGTTAAGGTTGGTTGGTTGGTTTGTTGTTTATCGCCGCACTCAGCAATATTCTAGCTATATGACGGCGGTCTGTAAATAATCGAGTCTGAACCAGACAATCCAGTGATTAATATCATGAGCATCGATCCACGCAATTGGGATCGATGACATGCATCAACCAAATCAGCGAGCCTGACCACCCGATCCCGTTAGTCGCCTTTTACGACAAGCATAGTCACCTTTTACGGCAAGCATGGGTTGCTGAAGACCTATTCTACCCCGGATCTTCACGGGTCCCCTACAAGTGAAACGGGAATGATGCGAACATGATGCGATGAAACATCATCATGGCGAATCTGGGAAGTTTGTAGCAATGTGTGACTTGCAAATGTCTTTTGCTGAGTGTATCAAGATGACATATCTTTAACAATGATATGCATTTATATGACGTATATTTAGCAAGGGTCGTACTTCCATACACAATACCCTGACACATGGCAAGTAGAGAAGAAAGTGCCCATGTTGTATTAATCACTAAAATACTGTTTCGTACTACAATGTACATGTACAAGTATTATCATGAACTAAACTCAAGGATTCAATGTTTTGACAATAAGGTTTCTGGTGAAGTTGACATTCATACAGAATCTTCTCAAAATAACACCCTTTTGATCATATATAGGTGTGGTGAAATTATCTGTATATTATATGCACACGCTGTCGGGTTGACACACACTGTCACAGTAAATACCTTCAATGTCACAGTCAATACCTTCAATGTCACAGTCAATACCTTCAATGTCACAGTCAATACCTTCAATGTCACAGTCAATACCTTCAATGTCACAGTCAATACCTTCAATGTCACAGTCAATACCTTCAATGCCATCCGTCCCGTGAAGATTCCGGGGTAGAATAGGTCTTCAGCAACCCATGCTTGCCGTAAAAGGCGACTATGCTTGTCGTAAAAGGCTACTAACAGGATCGGTTGGTTAGGCTCGCTGACTTGGTTGATGCATCCCAATCGCGTGGATCGATGCTCATGATATTAATCACTGGATTGTCTGGTCAAGATTTGTTTGTTTACAGACCGCCGTCATACAGTTGGAATATTGCTGATTGCTTGATACGGGATGCTGTGTACACGAAGATGATGATGTCGGTAATGATGTCGGGAGTCCTCTCTTATGGACGAAGAACAAACTGATCTTGTTCATGCCCTTGTACGTTATCAACAAGGACTGGACGGCCCGGAATCATTATACTGTCTGAGTGGGTTATTCATTATTAACTGTGGTATGGTACATGTTTCTCACTGAGCTTAGTATATTTTAAATGTTAAAAATCTAACCCAGATTACTTGTTATATGTTGAATTAGGTAGATATCCCATTGAAATCTTAGTAAAGGTGAGAATAGTGTCATATTGGGGCACTACAGGCGACCACACACACGCACGCACGCACGCACGGACACACACACACACACGTGTGCATGCACGTCTCTATATGAGTGCAATGATCTTGGACGCGACGTTAAACCTCATTTCACCTCACCTCACCTCACGACTATTTAAATTCTGAATTGACTATTTACCCTTGAATAATAAATAAAACATAAGTATTGATAAATAAAAGAAATAAAGAGAAGATTGGAATACCAAAAAATAAGGTTAAAACATTAATTACAACCCAAGCGTTATTAAACAGATTTACTCTAATAATTAGTGACTGGCGGAAGGAGGATCTGCCCGGAAAACGAAAGTTCGGTGGTTCGATCAACTGACCGCTACATACTAAAACATGTTAAAAGATGGTACTTGTTGTTACCCTGTCTGGCCCTCGGCATTAAGGGGATAAAACAAGGACTGGTCGGCTCGAAGTCCGTACACATGAGTTGGGTATCAATGCTAAACTGCGGCATTCTACTTGTGGGCTGGCACTATAAAACCGGCATCAGTTCGGACATGTACAAGCAGCAACACACACACACACACGTGCATATGTGCCGGTAAATATGTGCAATAATCTTTAACGTTAAATCCAATTTGCCTCACCTCACCTTAGTATAAATCCTCTATATCTCCAGAGTTATTCTAATGCATTCCCGTGGTTCTCGTAATCTCAAATTACCTGCCCATGACTTCCATTTGACAATTTGATTGGCTTCGCTACTGGGTCTAATGTGCCAATCAAAATGCGAGTTTCAAACCAACCTCTATGTTGGGTGCGCCAGTCCCATTGATTATTATCGAGTTGGCGGGAAATTTAACATAAAAAAACTAACTGACACGCAAGCGAAAGCCCTCAAAAATCCTTTTGATGGAAAGGATATCTTCATGTCCATTAAAACTGGCGGTGGATTTGGTTTCAAGGTAATACGAGTTACCTCCCTTATGTCGACGATTGATTGGTCGGTAAATTTTTAATGAAAATCAAGGGCGGGTAATTTGCGATCGCAAACCACGGGAATAGACTCAGAAAAAAAAGATATAAAGGATACTTAGTATATAGATATATAAAGGTATATTTACAGGTAAATCTCGTTTAAGCTTAAGCTTATAATTATCCGTTACTCGCCGCCGAGACATATGCGTACCTCACGTGACTTACCAAGAAATATTTCGCTCGTGTTCCTTCCAATGTGTTCTTGTAGCTGACTGCAATTTAGACCAATGGCGACCAGAACCGCCATGATGGCCCCTGCGCTGGATCCAGACACACGCTTGATGTCTGACATGGCTCCGATTTCTTCTAGATACTGGAATAAAAAATCCCATCCTTTTAAATATGTGAGTGAGTGAGTGAGTTGGGTTTAACGCCGCTTTTAACATTATTCCAGTTATATCACGGCGTGTCAGCTTAATGTGGGAGGAAAGCCCGAAGTGATGCAGGTCTCAGACGTTTACCACTTCGGTGAAACCCACGAGCACGGGTATGGTGCTGACAAACCTAGAAACATAATTGGGGCGAACCGGGATTCGAACCCACAATCATAGGTTTCTGGCGTGCCCAAGGGACGCAACTCTGCACAGCGAATCGCGGCGCCTCAGACGACTGGGCCACCCGTGCTCCCTTTTAAATATGTAAATATTGTAAATCTTGTATGCTGTTCCCTCTGTGTGGCCGTGTATCCTAAGTCAGCACAGAGGGATTCATCGGGGATAAAGCCAACAAGGAATATATTGTGCCGTCATGTTCATCATTGTCACAATTTGAAAACAAACTGATGTGGAGCTTTTGTTGTCACCGTATGAACAGCAGAAGGACAATCAATGAATAACTTAGAGCATAAAGGGGCCAAAATGCACTTTGGCCCTTTTTGCATATTATTACATAAATAACAACTTTGAATTCTTTTCTACTTGTAGGATACTTATTGTATGTGAGTGAATGAGTTAAATTTTTCATCACAACGGCAATATTTCAGCCATATAGCGATGGGAACATGGTATTAGATTTAAAATATCTGTCGACAAAGGACAATCAAAAAATAAGGTATATCACATTTTTAAAATAAAACAAACCAGATCTCTACGCTCTTCAAAACTATGTGCATCAAGTGCAAATGGCAAGTCAAAGCTTTAACTGTGTGTTACTCTTTAGCCCCTTTTCGACAAACATGTATTTAAGAATTGACTTTCACTTTGAGTGAGTTTGGCCCTCCCTCTATGAAGGTTCATACTCCAATGATCTCACACAAAGTGGAAGTCAATTCTTATAATTTTTTTATATTACCATTTTGTACAACGAAGGATGTAGGTCTAGATCAAAACACAACTTTAATTAGTATCTAGTGTGACTTCATGTTATTACACTGACAGTCATACAACAACCAGCTGTATCGCGGAATAAAATATTTCCTCAAGAAGGGAGGTGACGTGAGCGAATGTAAACTCAACTTGCTCTACAGGAACATCTGTAGTAGTTCGATTACAATAGATGCATTCAAATAATATCGTTGTGCATTTCTTCGTTCACTAGGATGGGTCACAGCGAGGATATTCGTGAACAATCATGCAGTCACACACTCTGACGTTTCTCATTGTATGGTAAACCGCTGAGTTCAAGATTAAAGGGTGTAAATTATCAGAAACAACACTTCTGAATGTATTTGTCCCAGGGAATTCCCAGTGGTTCCCCCGGAAATGAGAAAGTAGTCCGTCAGTGTTTGAGTCATTTCAAGAACACGGTCTCGTGCAAAACGCATGAACGTCAAACTGTGTTGTTCATTGAATTATGAACGTCACTTTCACGGTCATGTGACCGACCTAAGGTCCAGTTGAAAAGTCTTATTTCGTGTAAAGTTCACATTAAATAAATATACGACAGTTAGCTCAAGTTGAGGGTCCCATGATTAGGGTATGAACCATTCGCGATGGATGCTCCAATATAACTTAGCAAATATTACCAATGGTATGAAAAGAGGGAGTGAGTTAGTGTAAGTGAGTTAAAATCTTTTAACGGACCTTCTGCTCTCCGGGCGGACGCTCTACCACTAGATTACGGAGGCGTTAACGAATAATAAGAAAAACATCAATAGAAAATCCAATAAAAACACTTAAAAACACTTTTGACACCTTGCCTCTCATGTGTGTCAGCGATTAATTACTATGGGGTTTTACTAAGCTAACAGTAAAATATTGTCAACAAGAATTGCTTCGTCGTACCTTGACAGCTCCGCAATGCGCCAGACCTTTAACTCCACCACCTTCGAACGCCAGGTTTTCGAAAGGGAAGTCATATTTCCCAGGGTCAATCATTTCGGGATTATTATCAGAACCTACGCTCTGCTTTAAGCTGTCCTGTATCTCTTCCGCCAATCCAGGCTCCAACTGTATCAGATGCTCGATAAATTTGTAGCGTTCTTTCTGGATATTACATTTATCCATTCGCTCTTGCGAAGGCTTATTCCCCATGGTGATCGCCCTTTTTCAGTCACCTCGTCGGTGAGAGAGATTAAGCACTGTGTCAACAGGTGTCTGAGCGTTGCTAATGTGGTCATAAATAGAGAACTGTATTTGTTCTATGCTGGTTGTCATCAATCTATGAGTCTCGTATTACTTTCATGTATTGCGATACATGTATTAACTATGCTAATCTATGAAGACACATTAACATGAACGGAGTTTGAGGCCATGCAAGTACTGAAACCACAAAGGTTCACTTATGTTTGAGCTGCAAAACCAGATATTTTTTTTTTTTTTAAATATGAGCCTGGTTTTGTTTTGTTGTTTGTTTGTTGTTTAACGCCGCACTCAGCAATATTCCAGCTATATGACGGCGGTCTGTAAATAATCGAGTCTGGACCAGACAATCCAGTGATTGACAACATGAGCATCGATCCACGCATCAACTAAGCCTGACCCACCCCATCCCGTTAGTCACCTCTTACGACAAGAAAAGTCGCCTTTTACGTAATGCATGGGTTGCCGAAAACCTTTTCTACCCCGGATCTTCACGGGCCATTATTAAGATTAACTGCTTGCAGCAATGTAACTTTTGGTGGCAGGCAGTTTTAGACAGACGTTTATTTTACTAATATATGATTAAACTATTTTAAAATGTTTAATCTTCTGAAATATAAGTTTATAAATATGAAATTCCCTATTATGGCTTGTTGCCATACATGTTCCCGTGATTTGTCCCAGTAAACATGTGACTCGCCTTTGCATGTGTTTATGATGGGTGCCGCCGGTGGGGCAGGATACGCGGACATTTTCGCGGAAACTGGCGTCATCACAACATGATAGTGATTTACACACACATGCTTTTGAAATTGTCGGAATCGTACAATGGACTCTGCTCTCAGCAGATATTTCTCATGATTGTAGGTCAGTATATGTATGCCACGTACAAAATCTGTCACTCGTTTCAAATATGCACATCTGTTGAACAAGGAGAAAGCACCTCGCACCTGTGACTGATGTTATGTTTCTCAATGACCTGACTATATCCATGTGTAATTAATAGTTGTATTGAAAATGTTGTTTTCATGCATATATGTGCATCATACTATATGAATGATAATGAACACAATCGTGGGTAAAGCGAGAGGAAATGCAAGAGAAACTGTGCCTGTCAAAAGACTTCCTTGTTATGTCGGTTTTGTGGGTAGGACATGCAACACCTGTTGTTATCACTGACTTTTAGGGATCCATTCCAATATTTGTCACCGCTATTGTGCCTTTAACGCCCGTTGGAATCAGTTTCGGCGGATAATCGAGACTGGATATTCCCCGGCGAGAACATCAATACAGAAAGATGTATCCTGATTTAATATTTCAGCGCGACGTTTAATATAAATCGCTTTTTCCTTTGTCAAGCAAGTGATGAACACTCGCTTCATCCCCATTATCATCTTTTCAGGATTCATCACTATCATCACATTATCGGGTTCATCCCTATCAGGCTGTAGTTTTGTAATAATCGGAAATATTAGATTTTGGAAGCACCTTTGAGTGAGTGAGTGAGTGCATATTGTTTTACGCCGCTTTTAGCAATATTCCATCAATATCAAGGCGGGGGACACCAGAAATGGGCTTCACACATTGTACCCATGTCGGGAATCGAACCCGGACCTTTGGCCTGACGAGCGAACGATTTGACCACAAGGCTACCCGACCGCCCCTTTCAATCATCTGTAGACGAATTATGCAGTTCCAATCATACAACAATATGATTCAAGGAATGACAATAAAACTGAACGATACCTTACTGACGCTTATAAAAGCATTACCAATCAATTTTATGTCATACAAATGGGAATATTATGTTCAGTTGTACTGGATATTTTGCTTTCGTAAAGGTATATCTACAACAATCGGAGTGTGATTATAAGTATGACATAGACTATAAAACACAAACATTCACAAACTTGTGTCATTGATAAACTCCGTGTAAAACAGATGTTAGTTATCACGACGTGTCAGTTACATGTAAAAGGACATCGTGATGCAGCAGTTCCAATAAACTGATCTCTGAATCACAAGTATCTAATATCATAGACATAGACATATTTAACGCTTAACTTCACCATCTACATGTACATATATGTTTCTATATATTGCTGTGAACCACGATGCGTCAAAAAAGAAATAGTGAGTAAGTAAGTTTTACGTCGCTTGTAGCAATATTCCAGCAATATCACGACGGGGAACACCAGCAATGGGCTTCACACATTGTGACCATGTCGGGAATCGAACTCGGGTCTTCGGCGTGTGGAGCGAACGCTTTAACCACTAGGCTACCCGACCGCCCCTACTAACGAATGGGGTACATGAGATAATGTAGATTATGTAATGAATTTAATGAGACTGTCCAACATGTTGTCAGTGGATGCCCAACTTTTGCACAAACACAGTATCTTAAACGAGATGATGGTGTAGCTCGATCATTTTATTACCGTTTGACTATGGTCAAAACTGGTGAAAGAAAAGATTCACCTACACGAAACACAATCACTAAACAATGCGCCTCTGAGCAGATCTAACATTACGATCTGGACGAGAACATAGGTTATGGAAACTTGCTCTCGATAGACCAGAATATTTTACTTCCTTAGCTGACCCGTGAAGATTCCGGGGTAGAATAGGTCTTCAGCAACCCATGCTTGCCGTAAAAGGCGACCAGCTTGTCGTAAAAGGCGATTAACGGGATCGGGTGGTCAGGCTCGCTGACTTGGTTGATGCATGTCATCGATCCCAATTGCGTGGATTGATGTTCATGATGTAAATCACTGAATGTCTGGTCCAGAGTCGATTATTTACAGACCGCCGTCATATAGCTGGAATATTGCTGAGTGCGGCGTAAAACAACAAACCAAACCAAACCAAATCTTCCTTAGCTAGACTTGTTCGCTTGGTTCCATGCCAATAGAATCAAAGGAATGTATTTGTGGAACAGTTGCGAATGATATAGCGAAACACGTTTTCATGTCATGTCAAAAGAATTTAGAAGAAATATCATATTTGATAAAATCATTGATTTGCTTGATGTTAAAATATTTGTGAGAATCTGGACAGACGATGATACCCTTTTGTCTTGAAGGTTTACCTAAACGACTTGAAGATGAATTGGACAACAATGTATGGGCAGAAAGCATGATCAATATTGGTAGTGCAGTTAAAAAGTGGGATGAAGTCATCCGAAGCTGCATATACTAAACAATGTATATATTGTAAGCAAGTGTACACTTGTAAATAGCACTTGTAAATACGTTCGTTTCCCCTTTGATAAACATCTGAAAGGAATATGTGCATTTAGACCTCTGCGTTCCAGCTACACTTTAGACCCCGTTAACTGTGCATTGCTAGGGAAGTTTACTCTATTTGACCCAAGCTACGAGCTAGGTGGCGCGCGCATTTTCCGTCCCTTGGCCATATAACAGGTGTGGACACGGGTTTTTTTTGTGTGAGAGAGAAATGGCCATAATACGATATATTTTTGGCTTTGATTTTTTCTGTGTATCTGTGTTTACAAACTGATATTGTGGGCAACATATTCAATGGATTTGATGTTCATACTGATGAATTGAGGGGTGTACTTTACCCGTGAAGATCCGGGGTAGAATAGGTCTTCAGCAACCCATGCTTGCCGTAAAAGGTGACTATGCTTGTCGTAAAAGGTGACTATGCTTGTCGTAAAAGGCGATTAACGGGATCGGGTTGTCATGCTCGCCGACTTGGTTGATACATGTCATCATGTCATCGCCTTTTACGACAAGCATAGTCGCCTTTTACGGCAAGCATGGGTTGCTGAAGACCTTTTCTAACCGGGCATCGATGACATGCATCAACCAAGTCAGCGAGCCTGACCACCCGATTCCGTTAGTCGCCTTTTACGACAAGCATAGTCGCCTTTTACGGCAAGCATGGGTTGCTGAAGACCTATTCTACCCCGGAGTCTTCACGGGACCGATGACATGTATCAACCAAGTCAGCGAGCCTGACCACCCGATCCCGTTAGTCGCCTTTTACGGCAAGTATGGGTTGCTGAAGACCTATTCTACCCCGGAATCTTCATGGGTCAGCTCCATTCGAGATGACCCGGGGTAGAATAGGTCTTCAGCAACATGATATCGATCACTTCATTGTCTGGTCCAGACTCGATTATTTTACAGACCGCCGTTATAAAGCTGGAATATTGCAGAGTGCGGTGTAAAACAACAAACCCAACCAAAAACCATTTGAGACCAGTTTAATGGGAATTGCCCGGATGGATTTCTTCTTTCTTGCTAAATATTAGCAATACTATTTTTGGTATCTCATACAATTGTGAGGATTCATTTATAAACGTTTTTTGAATGAATTGAATTTATTTTTATTAATATGTTATTCAAATGAGTCTGAACTTAAAAAACCCTTTAACATACATCACAATATCTTCAGTTGATTGAAACAGTGATTTTGAAATGTAGTTCAACTTATCAACAATGTGAGTAATGTGTTTGGATAATGTTACAGTTATGGATGCAGACAATGGCTCCTGACACCTATACTTAACCCCAAAACAAGACATGAAGAGCGTTACAACTCTTCACACTGCCGAACAAAAAAAAACTATTGAGAGGACATTTGGGGTTCTAGGTTCAGGTTGCAAAAATATTCATCAATTGAATTTAATATGCAGTTTTTTTTATACTTTTGATTATTGTAATGTTTCAATGATTTAAAATTTATTGATGATGAAGTTGAAGATTCATATGTAGTGTTTTCAGAATGAATTTCTGTTCATTTCAGAAAAAAATTAATTAATTTTAATGTTTTACAGGTGTCTTAAAAAATCTACGGGGTGCCTTCCATTTTCAACCAGCAAGAACTGTAAAGCGATTATGGCTGCATTTACGTTGCATAATTTCAGAAAGTGCCATTGACACAACTGCTGGAAGAAAACCAGAAAGCCCACGTCATCTATCGGGGCAATGTTCAAGATGGAGCTGAGCTAATGGTCATTATTTCTCAAACTCATGAACTCTCTCTGATTCATAATTCTTACGAACATAACAAAA